TCTGCGAACTTGCTGATGATACACCCTATGTCCTTATTGAGATCATCAGTAAAAACGTTAAACAGAAATGGTCCCAACACTGAGCCCTGAGGCACACCACTTGTGACCGGCCGCCAGCTGGATTTAAATCCATTGAGCACCACTGTTTGGGACCTTCCAGTCAGCCAGTGCTTGATCCAGCGGATTGTATGCTCATCCAGGCCGTGTGAAGCCAGTTTTTCCACAAGAATTGTATAGGGGACAGTATCGAATGCTTTTCGAAAGTCTGGGTATACAATATGAACAGCCTTTCCCTCGTCCAATAATCTGGTTATCTTGTCATAGAAGGAGATCAGGTTCATCTGGCAGGACCTGCCTTCCATAAACCCATGCTGACTAGGCCTGATCCCCTGGTTGCCTATTATGGGGGTTTTGATGGCCCTCAAGATGACCTGCTCCATGACCTTCCCTGGTATCGAGGTTAGACTGACAGATCTATAGTTACCTGGATCCTCCTTTTTGCCTTTCTTGTAGATAGGTGTTACATTTGCCACCCTCCAGTCCATTGGGACCTCCCCAGTTAGCCATGACTTCCTGTAAATGACTTCCTTTCTTCTGCTGTCAAATTCTTTGCTTAGCTCTGCTTAGCTGTGACCTGCTGGTCAGGTCTCCTCCCATAGTAGTGGTGCAGGAAGGAGCCCCTCTTGCAGCCATTGGGAGAGACAGAGAACAAAAAACAGAGGAAAGTCGTCGTGGCTGCCAGGAGCTTGTGGCTGCCGTGTTTTCCTGCCTCTTACACTTCTGTTCTCTGCTCACTTAGTTCAGGGGTTACCTGGCCTTGGAGGGTAACAGCAGAACTGGCAACTTGTTGGGAAGCCACAGGCTTTGTCTGCTTTGTTTGGAGTAGAGCAGACAAGGGGAAGGTGGTTTTGCTTGAGCCTGTGTTTCCCTGAGATCTCAGAGCCCAGCATGCTGCTGGTGTGTCACATATGGCACAGGGGAGTGCTGGCCTGCTGCAGCCCGTGGAGGGCAGGTACCCCTTGGCTCAACGTTTCATTCCAGGGGTGGTGGGAGGGGTACTGGCGGTCCTCCAGGGCAGAAAACTGCTCCTGCACCTCAGTTCTTTTCCAGCTGCTGTCCGCTTTCTCTGTAGGACGCGGTTCAGAAATGCCAAGGGCAAGTCTGTGAAGAAAAGCCGGGACTGGATCCTTGAGAAAAAGGAGCGTAGACGACGACAGGGCAAGTAAGTTCAGCTGGGTCCTACCTCAGCTGAGGCTGACTGTGCTGGTCTGGCCTGCTGTCACCTGTTCAAACTCCTGCCACAAACCCACTTCCCTACCCCTCCCAGAATGACCTGTGGATTGTGCTTAGTTGCCCTCTGCTTTTCTCCACAGGGAAGTGCGAGCAGACACAAAGTACACGGGTCGAAAGCGCCGCCCTCGCTTCTGAATTGCTCTGGATGCTGCTGGCATGGAAGATGGTGTGTTGGTCCCTCCAGTGAGCCTCCAGCAGATGGCACAGATGCGCACCCTGGGCCTGGGACTTGTGGGGGCAGGTCATTTTGGCTCTTGAAGGTGAGCTCGGGTGCTGCCCAACAGCCAACTGCAAAGCTTTCAGCTCGGTTTTCCTGGTGAAGGCAGAGTGGCAGGCTGCTCTGGCCACTTGGTGTCTGCAGTGCCATTGCTTATCTTCCTGCAAGTGCAGTGAGCCATCTGGAGCTCCAGGTGAGCCAGAACATTATATCACACCTTCTCACTAAACAATCGACGACTCAGATGTGTTCCTGGTCTCCTGTGTCCTGCTCTCAGTGCAGAGGAGTACTGAGGTGGGAATGTAGTGCCTTGTTCCCTGCCAACTTCTGCTCTGCCCGCAGGCAGGGAATCGGGAAGTATAAAGGTTGTGTCTCATGAGGGTAAATCTTCCTCCTGGCAGAAGTGGTGATTCCTGTGGTGATTGCTCTTGTGAGTGCTTTGCATCAAGCCCAACCTGTATGCTTGAGTGCTCCGAGGGTGCTGGGTTATTCCGCACCCTAGTCATTGCTCCCCATCACTTCCTCCCTTCCCCTGAAACAGAGAGGTGCCAGCCAGAGCTTTACAGTTATAAATGTTTATTCTACATAAAAATTCCACAAAATGGGAAGCTGTTTTGCACCCAAAGCTTTGGGAGAAGGGAGGCTAGCAGGGAGGGAAAGAATGAAGGAGAAAAGAGGCAACATACAGTGTCATCCAGCCCAGTGAGACAGAGCAAGCCAGGGTCAAGATCCACATAGAAAACAAGGACACTTAGCTCACAGTACAGCAACAGTACAACTCCACGGGGGGCTCGGAAAGCCTTCAAGTACATTAATTACAAAAAAAAAAAAATCCCCAGTTCAAGTGCAAGCTGTGCGTGCCCCACACTGCTTGTGGAATACTGTATCGACACGCTCCCAGCACTGGGAGGGCAGGTGGCACTTGGAACAGAGGTGGTATAGCCCAAAGGACAAGCGGTCTGAGGTTGGGGGCTGGAAAGAAAAAGTGAAATGTCTCCCCAAAGCACAACCACACTGTTGGTGATTTGGTCTGTACATGCAACGACAGGTAGGTAAAAAGGAAGTGAATGGGGCTTCCCGTAGTGCAGGGGTAATTATTGCACCAAAACACCCTCCCCTCACAGCGTGAGGACAGTGTGAGCCTGCCTGTGGGGCAGCAATGGCAGCCTGCTCCCCTGTCTCCCTCACGTCAGAGCCTGGGGCAGAATCACCTACTGTGGCCCCATCTGGCTCCTACTGCTGGGGGGCTGCTGGCGGTGGTGGTACCAAGAAGGAAGGAGCAAGTGCCAGAATCCTCCCAGTGCTCTTCTTGGCCTCGTTCCTTCACAGGGGTGGATGTCGTGAGCTTGTGTCACAAAAGCTGCTGCTTGGAAGAAAAAGTCACCTTGTGCTAGCAGTGGGCATCGCTGCAGGGTGAGAGCCTGAGAGGAGCTTTTTTTGCCTGCCTGCCCAGGAGCAGCCCTGCCAGCAGTGTTATTGCATCCCGGAGGAGGGGGCCCAGCACTCTTGCTGGCTCAGCAGAGCAGAGCGCAGACTATGGTGGCAGGGAGCTGCACAGGGGCAGGAGCAGCAGGCACTCGTGCATCAACTCCAGCGCACTTTCCTGTAGCCAGACATCACCACAGAGTATGGACTCTGCCTGTGCTGGCCTCCTGCCCCGGAGGGGGGCTCCAGAGCCAGCCTGCCCCATCTTACAGGGGTCCTGGTGCCCCAAGCTGTTTAGCGCACAGGCTGCAGTGCTGTAGCTCACATCAGTTGTTGTGGGACTGTGAAAGAAGGGGGCTCCAGTCCTGGATGTTCCCATGGCTGCACCCACTGGGGGCTTGGGCTGGGCAGGGCAGGGAACTGGGCTGGACATGCTTCCCAATGGTGTCTGAATGCAACAAGGGTCTGCATTATGGGACCTCCGGTACCAGTGGCAGGGGAAGAGGCGGGGCTGGGGTGCTGCTG